CAAGGAGGAGACTTTTGTAGCCAAAGATAGCACTTTGCAGTCCACTTCTGTTCCACCCCATTCCAAGGCAGCTTAGCAGACCTGGCCCCCTGAGCAAGCTGGGACACGCGCAACCCTTCTTCATGGCGCAATGATTTGCGACACAACCAGACACCCAGCCTTGTCCTGGCCGCCACCCCTCCCTGCCCTGCCTTTTCAGAAATGTTCCAGATCAGAGAGAAACAAAGCCTCAGACCCCATTTGCAATGGCCCTCCTCGGTTATTACAATCTTAAGGCGCATCAAAACATTCCTCAGGCTCATCATTCTAAAGCATGCTCACCTTCTTGAGCAACTTCAGATCAAAAGACTTGTTAATCTACCAGCACCTGCCAACAGCTTTTATTAGAATTAATGAAACTTGGCAGGGGGAAATCAGGAAAATCACAAAGGAGGGTTAGGTAAGAATCGGAAATTATCACTACTGAAGCCAGCTGAAAGGACAGCTTGACACCTTTAGGAAAATGAGAAACACACTTTTTTTTTTTTGGTCGACCGAGGCAGCGGTAAGCCGAGGCTGGGTCCGCTCCAGGGCTGGGCGCTCAGGCCAGAGGCACAACCCCAAGGATGGCCTGGGCAGCCCCTCTCCCAGCTGGAGGAGCACTGCAGGGCCCTGGAGGCCGCTGGAGGGACTTGGTTCCTCGGCACTGGTGGCTGCAGTCTCACAGTCGGCCAGTGTGTGTTCTTTTGTAGTTTTTGAGACGGGTCTCACTTCGTTGCCAGGCTAGAGTGAGTGCCGGGCGTCAGCCTAGCTCACAGCAACTCCAACTCCTGGGCTCAAGCGATCCTCCTGCTCAGCCTCCCGAGTGCTGGGACTACAGGCATGGCGCCACCATGCCCAGCTAATTTTTTCTATATATATTGTTGTGCCAATTAAATTTCTTTTCTATTATAGTACAGACGGGGTCTCACTCTTGCTCAGGCTGGTCTCGAACTCCTGACCTTGAGCGATCCTCCCACCTCGGCCTCCCAGAGTGCTGGGATTACAGGCGTGAGCCGCAACACTCAGCCTAAAAGTTGTTTCTTTAACAACAGAAGTATAAAATGCTTCCTTGTCTCCTCTCCTCCCTGAACTTTGGCCCTTCCCTCTCCCCTGCAGGGGCCTGTAGGCTCTTTGGTCTTTTCCACAAGAGCTGGTTGAAGTGGGAGTTGGTTAATCTTCTAATCTGATTCCCTGGGGCGACTTTGGGGTGCCGGGGGGTGGGAAAGGGTGCGGGCCAACCCTCGCCACGCCAAAGAAGCGCAGGCGGCAGTCACGCGCTGCCACTGGCCTTGGGTCCCATTCTCAGCCGTCGGGGTGTGGCAGTCTGACTCCAGACCGCCTTTCTTCATTCCCGTAGTCCCCCCTCATCTGCGGTGCAGAACCCCCGGGCCTTTACAAGCCCGTCACACCAGCCCCGCCCCGGACAGACTCTCCCCTCCGGAAGCAGGAAGGGACACCAACAAGATGTGGGAGTGACCCAAGCCCAGGTGCGCTAGGGGACCCAGGTGACGGAGGGTGAGGGGCTGGCACGCGGGCGCCAGCCGCCTGCTTGGGCGTTAGGGACTTCGCGTTGGCCTGCTTACGCCTCTATCTGCTGTAAGGCCGTGCAGGAATGTCGGTTGTGCATGCAACCTGCTAGGCTAATGCCTCTCATGGTCGACTACTTTGTTCTTCACTATCATGAGAGATAATGAGAAGAAAAAAAAAAAAGTGTGTTTCTCATTTTCCTAAAGGTGTCAAGCTGTCTTTCAGCTGGCTTCAGTAGTGATAATTTCCATTCTTACCTAACCCTCCCTTTGTGATTTTCCTGATTCCCTCCTGCAAGTTTCATTAATTCTAAATAAAAGCCTGTTGGCAGGTGCTGGTAGATTACAAGTCTTTTGATCTGAAGTTGCTCAAGAGGTGAGCCATGCTTTAGAATGATGAGCCTGAGGAATGTTTGATGCGCCTTAAGATTGTATAACCGAGGAGGGGGCATTGCAAATGGGGTCTGAGGCTTTGTTTCTCTCTTGATCTGGAACATTTCTGAAAAGGCAGGGCAGGGAGGGGTGGCGGCCAGGACAAGGCTGGTGTGTGTGTGTGTCGCAAATCATTGCGCCATGAAGAAGGGTTGCGTTGTCCCAGCTTGCTCAGGGGCCAGGTCTGCTAAGCTGCTTGGAATGGGGGTGGGACAGAGGTGGACTGCAATGCTATCTTGGCCTACAAAAGGTCTCCTCCCTTGCAAAGGAAGGCCCCAGTACAAGACAACTGGTCCCAGGGGTCTAAATTGTAAATGGCAACCCCTGTGGACTTTGTGATTTCAAGTTTCTGTTGAAATAGAAAGCTTTCTTTTCTGTAAGCTTAAATTTTCCTTCTGACCATAGCAGGAAAACCGTGACCCACCCAGTTAAATTGTATAAGAAAAATATATAATATAAAAATATATAAATATTTCTCCTGGGGAAAAAATGAACTGCTTAGAACCCACATATTTGTAGGTGTTTGGTTGCTGGAAATTTCTGGCATCTCTAAAAGCTACAAGAAAGAGGTAAAACTGGAAAACAGTTTCTAGTGTGGATTATACAGGTGGAAGAAATAAAATGCAAAGCAAAACACCTGTCTCTGCATTTTGGTTCTCTGCAAAACACTGTCATTTTATGAAAAAAGTAACTGTAAAGTTGGAAATTATTCTGAGATGTAACGAAAGCAGGGTTTTTGTGGACGCGGGCATTCTTTTTCTTGGCCAAGTATGTTTTCCACAAACATGGATTCTTTCATGGTGCTGAACTATAAGGAGACCTCAGATGCTTGTTTCATTCAACTACTCTTAAAAGTCTCTGATTTACAATACCAGGAAGACAAATGCGGCAAAAATCCCAAACAATAGAATTCTAAAGCAGAGATTACTCTTTTCGAAAATAAAAAAAAAATTAAAAGTAACCGACTATGTGACTCAAATCTGTAAGTGTGCGATTGCAATTTCCATTCCAAATACTGAGAAAAGAGGCCCTGGCCGCATTTTCCAGGAACTCTGCTAGGTTCTGGGCAGGTGCAGGTGAAATGGCAGAACATGTCCCTGACTTCTGTGGGCAACTCAGAAAGTTGCGAACAAAGCAGGTGGGGCTGGTTCGCCACGCAAAGGCCCCTGTCGGGTGGAGCATCTACCGAAGGTTAAGTTGTAAACCATACGCCCACACACAAAGAAAACTGCCTGGAAACTAATTAAAAAACCAGACCCTTGGGTTTAACTCTAGGCGAGGGAGGATCAAAGCGAGAAAGGCCTAAGGAAAGAGGGAGTCTCGGTCCCAATATATTTCTGTATTGTTTCCATTTTTTATATAAATATTCTTTTTTTTCCACTGACACATTAAACCCATTAATTTTCTTTTTTTTTTTTTTTTTTTTTTTTTTTTTTTTAGACAGAGTCCCACTCTGTTTTGGGCCAGCGCTAGAAATGCGCCATTGGCACAGCCTAACGCTCACAGCAAACCTTGCCAACTCTGGGCTTCAAAGCGATTCCTCCTGCCTCAGCGCTCGCCGAGTAGGCTGGGACGCTACAGGCAATCGCGCCAAAACAATGCCGCTTAATTTTTTTGTATATATATATTTTAGTTGGTCAATTAATTTCCTTATATTTTTAGTAGAGATGGGGTCTCGCTCAGGCTGGTTTCGAACTCCTGACCTTGAGCAATCCACCTGCCTCGGCCTCCCAGAGTGCTAGGATTACAGGCATGAGCCACCGCGCCCGGCCCAAGGTGGAAGTTCTTGATTATAAATGTTATCATTCAATGGTTATTAAGTCTCGAACATGCTCTCAATACTGTAGTAAATATGGCCAATGGCAGGCTCTGAGCAGTGGGAGAAATGTCACGGGGTTG